TGTGTCTCTATGTATCTGTAAGTTTAACTCAATGGTGGACTGTCACTCATGGACTATCATGAGTAAAGCAAAAGGAGATTTCTGCCCATCTCTGTCATCCCAGACTATATCAGTGTGTGTATTCTGAACCCATTTTAGCATAAAACTATAACCTATATACTTTTGTTGCTCCTTTATGGGTTATAGCCTGTTTATAAAGGTAACCTTCTCTCTGACTTGTTCTCTGATTTTAAACTTAAATAACAAAAAACAAACCTCTTTATTTAATGGAGCCTCTAAATTAGAATAACAAATTTTTTCAATTTTGTAGTTTATACATTTCATTTTACACTTTCAGCACATAGCCTCATAACAACAATATTAGGTAATACTTGTACTGCTAAGCAACATGATATAAAAGCCACTTGTCTATATGGTTTTTCACTAGCTTGCCTCATTAAAAAAATGTGCATGTGCACATGGATAAGTAATAATACCCAGGTGCAGACCCTCAGGTTTCTAGATTCCTTCCTCTTGTAGCTATGGCAGTCACATATACACTGACACTCGTGTGAGTGTCTGTCTGTCTGTAATTTCTATTTGTAATATAAGGAACCACTTCTTTTATTTATTTATTTTTTTTATAGGTTGCTTCATTAAAACACAGACACATCTTTTCATCATTATAGATTTGACAAGAGCGGGTGATTGACACTTTGTCCTGGATCTGTACCACTTGAACCAACTTTGCTCATTCCTCAGTTCGAGGTGGATGGTTTTCACACCGAGATTGATATAGTTAGGATGTGGAGGAACAGGATCAATGTTTCAACTGCTTTCTTCACATCACAATTTACATCCCTGCCTTTTGCTTCTTTCAGGTTGACTACAGTCCCATATGTTTTCAAACTGGTCCAGTGGGTTTTTTGCTCAAAGGTTGCACTTGTTAGTCCTACTGTTCCACTACTCTATGGACATTTGACTTCTGTTTGCCCCATTCAGTGTGGTATCACTGCACTGTTCTAACCTCCCTTCTCCTTAGAGAATCATCTCATTGGGGTGGCTGGTTTGGGTTTTTAGTTCAGTCTTGACCCCCATCTATTGTCTCATTCACTTAAGTGTTTTTCTCAATTTGTATGTGGGGTAAGCTAGGCCTTCTCCCTTACATCCTTGAGACATATTGTTTTCTGGTACTAAGACTTTTGTGTCTCCTTCTTTTCCTATGCATAAGATTTGTTTTTTATGGACTCTCTCTCATCTGTTGAGTCAGTTTTTCCTCTCAAACAGCCCATATGCATCCCCTTCAGTGGACTCTGGCAGATCCATAAAGTCTATCCAGAGATCCACTGTCTTATATCTTTTGTGCACATAGCACAGGTGGCACATGTTTAGCTATGCGCTTGACACCAGTCAAACCTATAAACAAAACCTATCAACTGATGCCTCTGGTCAGATGGTGTGCTGTTCTGGACACTTGTTCCATATATGGAGTCTGGTCATAAAAGGAGCAGTCTCTCTCTATCATTGTCTTCAATTGTTGGTTGCTCACTGAGCTACCATCATCTTCTGATCCATCTGACTGGTCTTTTTATGATGATCCATTCAGACATTTCTATTTTTCCTTCCCTCCACTGAATGAGAGGAACTTGCTCTCGGGCCATCTGTTTTCCTTCGTCTGGACTCTCTTTTTAGGCTCACAATCACTACATTTAGTTGTTGGTCTATCATGTCTCAGAAGATTAGACTCTGATGGCAGACCAACTATTTTACTTTCAACAGAGTAGATTCTTCATCCTCTAGTGTTTTCAGTGGTTCTGCTCCAGCTTCTGGAGTCCTGTCATTGCTACCTTTTCATCTCTTGTCAACACCTAGCTTCCACTCTTTTGATCTCAAGTCCCAGACTCTACAGTTTTGGTAGTGAATGCTCTGAGTCTGGATTTCTTTGATCTTTTTTTTTATATGTCTATTTTCCTCTTCAACTTCTGTTTGCCACACGTACAGATTAATATTATTATTTGACAAGTCCTTGCTCCCCAAAACTTGGCTTGCTCAAGACAATGATTGTATGTTTTCTCCAATCATCCTTTCTTTCCTATACAATTTCCTTTGCCCTATATGGATTGTTGTTATCTCACTCATACTTTTTTCATGGCAGTTGACAATGTCTTTTCTTGCCATGGAATTTCCTCTTTCTATAGTAATTTGTATCCTTTCCTTTTGACGGGTCTTATTATAAACCTTATCCATCTGGTTTATTCTTCTATAGATGAAACACTTTTCATCTTTTTCTTGTCTCTTCTCATCTAGTTCATCATCTCACAGTTTCTCTTGCCTCTAGTCATCTACACCCTCTGGATAAAGTCTTATACATGGAGATGTATGGATGACCCTTGACACCTTTTTGTCTTATTTGCTTACTTCACATTGAGAGTTCATTTACCCCTGGGTTTTGTCGACCTCCTGTAACCATTATCTATCTTCACAAAGATTCTCAGAAGGTGAGTTGTTAATTCTTGATTTATATGCAAGTGTCACAACCAACTTAATGGAATCCACTGTGTGGCTAATGTTGCCTCACAAGGAATACATCTTTCTCCCAAAACCTGCATTGAGTGGAGGATAACAGAAAGTGTTAGCCCCTGCTCTGTGTCCACTGTTGAGATGAGGTTTTTGTTTATATATATTTTACCAACTTCAGAAAATGAAGAAGTAAAAAAAGGCAACATCAGTGTGAGCCTGCCCTCATACCTTGCTAACTCTTGCTGTCCATATTCTGCTGACTGTCCAAGATATAATGGCTGGTTGACCAATCTTCCATACCAACCACCTATGGAACACTTCAGCACTATGCTGAAAAATCTTTTTTACAGAGTCTTAGTTCTACTTCTGAGTTGTAATCTAGTGGAGTGACACATTCCATTTCATAATTTCAGACAGAAGCTCATTATTTTAAATTTGTATCTATACCAGCATTTCCACCATATTATCTATGTAGGATTCTTGCTCTTCTGCAGAGTACTGTTTCTGAAGTTAACATTTTCTTTACCTGAGATCATATTTTTCGAAAGGAACTCGCATCTCTGCAGAACCATCCACCCTCCCTCCCTACTTCCACTTTATTCCTATTGCCTTATCAATAATGAGCCTTTGTTCTAATGCTAGTGCTCATGGGGTTTACTGCACATGGAGAATGTCTCATCTTCTTTTTGGTGGAGAGCTATAGTCTTATGGTAATTACATCTTAGGTTGCTGCAGTCCACATTAATATATGTAGAGGTGAGATTCTGTTCAAGGCTTGTGGCATGTGCCAACATTTTCTTGACAGATACCTGAGGTAGTAGCTCTTTGTTCTGCAGAGAGGTGAGTGTCTATCTAAAACATAATTTTAGATAAGGAAAATGTTAACTTCTGTGCAATAACTAAGAGACTTGAAAATAAAGTAAATACATTACTAAAAAAAATGTGTATCTAGTTATATATTTATTGTACCTCATTCTTTTATTCCTAGTTTTCAGTCTTAACAAATAATTAATTTTGCATTTTCTTGCATTTAGTTTGTTTGTTTTTTTTCATTTTGAAATAAAAATATCTTTTGTGCATGTTTACACTTTCTGAAACTTGAATGAAGCCATGTTGATAAGTATAATATGAATTATTTATAGTCCACTTGATTAAAAGTATCACTGTCTTGCATCAAATTGTAATTGCAAATGGGAAGAAAAGAATTATTCATCACCTTATCTTGTTTTGCAGTTTAGTTAAATAAATTCTAGTATTTTGTTTTTTGTATGTTATGTTTATGGCTTTGTAGATTTATTTAAAAAAATATGTACTTCTGATTTTGGTAACATTCTCATAATTTTACTGTTCTTATCATATGTAGAGAACTTATTCCTGTCATTAAAGTTGAGATGCTTCTACATTGATAACATTGATGATGAATATGATGAACACCTATTACGTCCTCTGTAGTTCTCTTAACCTAATTGGGAACACTGTTGTACATGTATAATGATAACAATATTTGCAAAACGTTTTGAGTGTGTATTCTTTTTTATTGGTTTATAGTGAAATGTTTACCCATCTTGAATGAAGTTTATTTTATAAACATGGCTGTGAAAAGTAGGTATGATATTTCACAGTCATTAACAGCAGTTGTAACTAGCATCTTGGAATATTCATATGAAAGAGAAACATTAAAACTTTCTGAAAACTGAAAAAGTTTGTGAAATTTTCTGATAACCTTATAAGAAGGAAGTAAAACTTAGAATTGTGTGTAATGAAATGTTTTAAAGTTTCAAGTGAGTCATTTTCAAACTTTATTAGGAACACATCCATGAACTACTGCTTCAATCTTTCTTCTTAAACTACAAAAAAACAAAATAAAGGTAACCAATACATCATCAACTATTATATATTTTGTTAGCAAGTAGAAACACAGAAAAGTATACATACATGAAACAATATTCTCTTAGTACTTGCTTAAGAGTCAAATAAAATTTGTGTAATTTTGAATTTAAACAATACAAGTATCATATGTTTCTCTACATGTAGGTGGCCATGATATTGTGACATATGGAATTGGCTACATCTTTATCTTCTGTTATGCATATGACAGTTTAATAATATTTATTGAAAAGTCAGTCAGTGTTGGCAAAAATCACATTGATAGCCTACTTGTGCTTATCCTGTTTAAATAACTAATAAGTATATATTTATGTATTTTCATTTTTTAAATGTTGATTAATACTGTAAGAAATAAAATGAATCAGAATTGCTACAATTTTAACTATTTCAGTGTTGGATGTATTTGGAAATGATTATACATTTTAAAAGAACTCATTTCATTGTCAGTGTGGTTCCAGTAAATTAATCTTTCCTTCAGTCTCAGTTTTCTGTGAATCAATTTTCCTAAATACCTATATGTTTTTAAATAAATTTATTTAATTTTTTTCAATTTTTGAATACCCTATTAATCACTCCTTATAACCCCCTCTTCCATTTATTTTTTTTATTTTCAGAAGAAAGAAAAAAGTGACCAATATACAGTTTCATTCATTTTCTTATGAAGGATGGGGAAACATAATAGTAAACTTAAACCTGAAGTTCTAGAGGACCTGCGGCAGAACACAGAGTTCACAGACACTGAAATTCAAGATTGGTACAAAGGGTTTTTGAAGGATTGTCCCAGTGGAAACTTGACAATAGACGAATTCAAAAAAATTTATGGAAACTTTTTTCCATATGGAGATGCATCTAAGTTTGCAGGGCATGTCTTTCGTACATTTGATGCCAATGGTGATGGAACTATAGATTTTAGGGAATTCCTTTGTGCCCTTAGCGTGACATCTCGAGGAAGGCTGGAACAAAAACTGAAGTGGGCATTCAGCATGTATGATCTTGATGGAAATGGTTATATTTCAAGGCAGGAAATGCTGGAAATTGTTATGGTAAATGTGTAGTTATTTTATTATATATTTTTTTTCTGATCTAATATTTTTTATCATCATTATAGTTTACTTTGTGTTTCTTGGTAACACAATCAGATGTCATTGGATTGTGAGGCAAATGTGCAAGTAAAACCTTGATGGTTAGATGTATCAACTTTAATTGAAAAATGTATGTTGATGTCATTGTAGTTTATATCCTCACTGTTTAAACTCTACATTGTCAGTTTATTTGTGGTTTACTTTTTTTCAAATAATGGTCATGTAGTGTTTATATTTATTGCATATTTTTAAGTAACGTTTCGCTTTACCAATTGTTAAAATGTTTCCATTATGAACTATAAAATAAATATATATATATATATATATCAAGATTAACAGATTTAATAAATTTAGCAGATATTCACTACTTTCAAACAATTTTTATTAATTTCATATTTAATATTTCAAATTTTTTTGGTATAAAATTGCTCTTTACACCAATTTATCTTATATTGTATGTCAAGTATTGGTTATGTATTTTATATAAAAAATTAAGGTTTAATTGTTATCATTGCATCTATGTGTTTTAATATTTTGATAAAGTAAACTTGTTGTAATATAATTCAAGACATCAAACAAAATTTTTATAGTAAGAAAAATAATAAAACTTGTCTTTCCAAGCCGACACACAGAAAGCTATCTTCCCAGTGCATCTGCTTTAGAGATTTGCATGCCACTAGCCTTTAGGCAACTCACAGCTAAACTCGTGAGATTTCTCATGGTTTGCATTACTACATAATGATGTTATTATGCAGCAAAAGCCCTACACAAATTGGAGGGCAACACAACCTCCCTCTGCAGTAGCTCTCTCTATGCTTTTGCACTCATGATCTTCATTCTATTCCTCGGCACTAAACAAATCAGATGTGTTTTTTCTTTTTCAATTTAACAAGATTTGCAATGTTGAGGGGACTTAATTTCCTTTTTTTTTTTAAACTATGAACACTAGTTCATGTACCATATTTAACTACTTGTGAGAATGACTAATTTCTTGCATAGATTGTGTAATAATGATGGTTTATGGAGGCACATTTCCTGAGGATGGAGTGGAAGCCATTATGGATAGGACAATATGTTCCCTTATGCTGACAAATACTTCCTCGCCAGTTCCTTCATCAGGGATTCCTTCCCCTCATTTGTGGGGTGAATGAGGAGGAGGAATTTGATTGTTCTTTCACTTGTTTAGCAGCGATATTTTTATTAAAGAAAATGAAGAATATTGAATTTTCGTTAACAAAAATGAATACAAAAACTAAAAATATTGAATTTTCATTAATGAAAATGAAAATGTATTACAGAATTGAGAAAAACAAGACAATTGTATGTTTCACAAATACACGATTTTTTCACAACCATGGTTTCACCAGTAAAGGCATCATCAGGTACCTTACTGGCAAAACCATGGTCGTGAATAAGTGATGTATTTGTGAAACGTACAATTGTTTTGTTTTTACTCAGTTCTCTAATTATGGAATTTCACCGAGTACCGAAAGTATCAAGTATCAATTATAGAAAAGGTATTACTTAAATGACACAAACTAAATATTTCTTCAAAAAGATCATGAACAAAAGTTAATCTCAAAACGCTAACAAAATGAGTATGTTTCTTAAAAAACTAAATACCAAGTTATGGAAATTAGGCCTCAGCCATAATGTAAACATTAATCCTATAATTACTGGTATCTTACTTAAATACCCTTCTGCACATGTCACAAAGTGATACCAAGTTACATTCAAAATTTAATTAAATAAATTTACTCTGTGTATTTTAATGAAATTAGCATTATCAAATATGCTATCATTTTATATTATCCAAGTTATTATTCCTTTGTTGCAAAAGAAACCTCCGAAACAAACGGTGAAGTTATTGCCCACGAACTTCTTGAGGTCTTAAAATCATGGGAAATGATGAAAAAAGTATTTCTCTCTGTCCCCTGATAGTGGGGCAAGTATGAAAATAGCGATGCGATTAATGCTTGAAAATTGTGGTAAGAATTTATTCACTTGGAAAAGTTTTAACTTTCAACTAGTTTTTTCTCAAAGGCAAATGTTTTAAATTTTCTTATGGTATTGTAGAGAGCCAAAAGGGTCAGTTGCGAATGTTACTGAGTTTACTAGGCATAACTGTCAGCACAAAGTAATCCTTATCGTCACATAGACACAATCATGAAGGAGACTAATTATTATAAATAAGTTATTTTTCAAAATTATTTTGTAAGTTGTATATTGTAAGTTTAGATATTTATCTCTGCTATCTGGTAACTAGTCACTATAATCAGTGTTGTGGTTATGGTCTGGATTCTGGAATATAGCTAACTGGTACATTTGTAAGTTTTCGTTTTTTGCAAGAAAGGTACTAATGACTAAAATTATATTTTTATTACTTTTCATTTTATTCATATATTGTTCATATCACAAGATGTAAATTGTCAGAGTAATTATACACTTAAAAGAATTATTCTATAAACTAGTGATTTTGATTTAAAACTCAACATGGAATGGAAATTAAAATCAATGTCAAATACTCAAAACTAAAATGGAAACTTTTATTAAATAAGCAAAAGGAAATAGAAACTAAAACTACTGTTGATAAGCAAAATTCAATAAAAACTAAAATATCACTGCAGTTTAGGCTTTGGGAACTTCTCTCCCTGTTGAAGAGAACCTTGAACTTTCTCCAGAGAGTAGAAGTAAAGAAGTGTGGTACAAAGGATCAAGGAAAGACAGAAGTTTTGGGTATTGGAGGGCAAAACCGACACCAAAAGTCCATGCCCCCGAAAAAGCAAGGGCAATACCAAACGTGAGATTCTTAAAAGAGGATGCAAAATGACTAAAATCGAGGAAATAAGAATCAGATAAATGGAAAGGGAGAGGCTTAATGTCACAGAAGTGAAAGTGGTCTAGGAATGGTAAATGACATGAGATAGGGTTAGGATTAAGAAGTAGGGAACAAGCAAAAAATACAAGACGGGAGAAAGAAAAAGAATGGTGGATATCTGATAATCGAAGCTAAAGAATGCCACCTCAAGTCTGAGGCACTTCACTGTGCCCCAGAGCATTTTTTGAATGATTCTCATTCCCTTCACTTCTACACCGTGGCTGTTCCTCTTCTACCTTTCTTGCTTATTCACCTCCTTGTTACTGGAGATTGTTGGTAGAGATACGCTCCTATCCCAAGTTCAACTTCTTTCTTCCTTTATTCGAGCCCTTCACCTAGCCTCTTTCTTTGCTCTGAAGTTTGGAGATATATCTGATTTGATTGAATCACAGGCTGAGATGGCCTATCATCAATCCTTACTTTCATAAGTTGTTTTCATATTGTCTCTAACCCTCCACTGTTATACTTTTTCTTCTATATTAATTCTTTGTTTTTATTATTCCCAACTTCCTCTTCTACCCAGGTCAGTCCCCTTGACCCCAATGGTTATCTTGTCCCTTCCTCCATTCTAATATTTGTATGGGTGGCTAGACCGATCTCCTGTCACAATCGGTGTTCCATTACCTCCACCCAATCTGAACCTACAACCATTGCATACCTCAAGCAGCTGAAGAATGAAACTGGTATTATGTTATTCCATATGAAGACATACTGGTGAAATCACCTGAAGCAATGTCAATGGTTTCTGTCCAATAAAACTTTTGAAATAGGTGTTGGGAAACAGTCATCTTCATACACTACATGGCTTATGGAAGGCAGGGAGGAGGGATGTGCTCTAGACATGACATCCTTTTGCAATGAAAATTATGTTGCAAGTCTATTGTCATCAGACAAAGCATGACCAAACTTGACAACATGGTGAGGCTCAGACATCATTTTAATATAACATACTCAACCTTGTGATATATATGTTGCAAAATACATGAACTTTATAAGTTTTTCTTTTAAAAATGATTTGCTTTTGTAAATGTGTATACATTTATCACTTGATGATGACCTTTTCTGACTACATATAGTTTCAGAAGTGATGAATTTGCTATGAGGAATGGTATTTCTAGTAATGTCGTATAATGTTTCTAGTGAAAAATGTGGTTTTATAGCTATGTCTTCTGGTTTTTATTGTGAGGAATGTAAGTTTGTAGCTATGACTTCAAGTTTTTCAAATGAAAAATGTACTTTGTTGACCATGCCTCTTAATAGAGGAAATTGGAAATGTATTCTAGAATTTGGAGGATAAATTCAAGTTCTCTTTTTTTTTAAATAGTTCAAATCTGGTAGCCTTACCTCTGAAATACTAAAAGCCTCTCCATCTTGAGTTTGAACTCATAGTGTCAACAGAATGTGTGGCTAAAATTTTTCAAATGTCCTTACACATTATAGAGCATGTATCACTTATCCATAATTCTCTACTTCCCTACCTGTCTTATTGCACAGACACCAGGGGATCTTATATAAGCTCTGCTTTCCTACAATAATTTAGTGTTTTTTTTTACAGTTGTGCTGTTCTTCTTGCTACAATATTCTTTCTGATGCAGCTATTTCCACCATTATTGGATTTCTGTAACTGTTGGATGCTTTACTTGTGCAACATGATTGTAGCATGCAGAGTAAAATTGTCAGCCCTGCTGGTACAGCATCCTTGTGCCAGTGTATAATGATGATTCTGGTTGGTACAATAATTGTGTGGATGTTTAATTTGCATAACATTTACCAGTTTGTTTTAGATGAAAGTTGATTTTTTTTTTGCTCAGATTTAATTTCCTTCAGCATCTGCAGAGGATTTGTTTGCTACAGTGCTATTCTTAAACCTGGCAACACTTCTGCTGGTCTTGTTTCTTTTTGATATGTTATATGTTTTCAGTACTGAACCTATTTTTGTTACACTTAAGGGTGCTTGTGCATGAAGGGCAGAAAACTGATGATTTGTATTGTTTTAAGACATTTTTTTCTATGCCATTATTAGATATTCTTCCTTTCTTTTCAGTCAGAAATCTATGTTTTCACACATGTAGTCAAACCATTAGCTGGTCTTATACACACACTCAGTATCAGTTGTCATTATTACATGAATGATTAGAGGATTCTTGCTCCGTGGTTGCCTCACACTGAATTGACATCCCACTTAGCTTCTCTGGAATGAATTGCTCATGAGTTTAAGTCTGAGCTTGTGTTTATTAAGTGTTCTCATTCATCTGAGATCTTGTATTAACACTCTCTTAGGAACTCTTCACGCATTTCTTTTTGGTTTTGCAATCCCTTGATTTCAGGTCACAAATTTCTCCATCTACCAAATACATCCTCTTTGATTTTTTGAACGATGGCTTTATATGGCAATTCCCATGAATTGTGCTTACTTAAGATACCATCAGTGTGAATTTGCCCCTTTGTGGAGTCTATTTTCAGGCCTGTTGTCTATTGGAATTTTTCTTATTGCTCAAAATTATCTTCAAGTGTGGCTCATTAATAAGTATTCCCATTGTAGGTTACCCTTTTCTTCCAATTCCTTTAGATATGAATCTTTTTATTGGTTTCTCTCTCTAGGGTTAGGGTGATGTATATGAGGTTTGTTATTTTTAGGATCTATAGTCTTCTCATATTTCCTATTTTTAAATCATTCTGTTAGAAATGTAGGCTGTTCCATATAAATTTCATAAGTTCCTGACCTTGTTACACTACTACTGTGTTTTAGTACTTACAGAAACTTCAATAGTCAGGGTGGGACTAGAGCTTGGAGCCCTTATTTGCTACAGGTTCTCTAGGGTTTTGCTGAACTGATATTTCTTTATTTGTACCAATGGTTTGGTCATTCTATGCTTGATTCACTCATGACAATGTTGCTTCATCATCTCATGCTTTAATGGTTCCAGGTCCAGCTTCTCTAACAGTGGATGCTTCAAGTCCATCATAGGAGAATTTTACTTTATGCCTACCCTCTTATTCTTCAGCATCTTTTTTAGATATTGGCCATGATCAGTTGGTCCCATTGTCCAGTTCTTCTTACAACCCCATGTTGGCCTGTAACCCCATGGTTTCCACTCCTCTCGTCTATCTCAGGAAGGTCCTATTCTATTACTTTTTGGTACGTCTTCCACAATGACATTGTTGTCTCCAGTTTCCCTGGCAGTATACCAATCTCATTGATCTATCTTTTGAAGTTGATGCTAGCAGAATTCAGTTTCTTGTTTTTCTCCAGTAGTTCACAATTTGCCTTTTTTTTTTCATGTATTTATTTCATAATCAGGGCTTGTGTGTTTGTATTACAGACTACAAAGCTACACATTTAGCCACTTTCAGTTGCCATAGAAGTCATGTACCTGTGTTATCCCCAATTTTTCTCGGGTTCTTTTTTTTAGTTTTTTTCATGTCTCTCCACAAGTATCTAGGCAGTATCCTCAATAGGATTTAGGTCTGGTCTTCAGTTGCTGGGCTTCTCCTTTTGAACCCTTCTCAACTTGTTACTCTACCATCTTTCCCAAAAGATTTATTTTGTTACTTCCTTCATTGATGTTTCTTGTACACTTTTCTTTTTCCAGGAAAGCTTTGTACTTATATCCTGATAGAACATTCTTACCAGGGACTTGGAATGTAACAGCTGGTCAATAATTGTGTTTTATCCTGTCGTGTTGCCTACTCTGACTGACTCTGGTTCTCCTTTTGACTAAACCTTTCTATGTGTAGTTGGCTTTTTGTTGCTATTTTGCAAGGATGGAATTGATGTCAGTAGTTTACATTTTATCACAGTTTTTTGTGACATGGATCTTGCTATATCCACATTGATAAATTGGTTTGTGCAGGTAATCCTTGTTTATTATTATGATGTTCCTGATCACCTTAAGCATGGATTTCAGGTTACATCTCATCACACTTGCCATTTTATCTTCATCACATTACTGTATTTTCAGTTTGCTGCCTATGGTTATTCCCCAAGCTAAATGGAATTTCTCTCTTGTAAGTTTTTGTTTATTATGCTCAGCATCCATTGCTAACCATTTCTATATTAATAATTTTGACTTCCAAGCAAACAATTCAAAACAAGAAACATATAATAATCAAATACAGTCTTTTCTTATTTGTCCTAGGCAACCCAAGTATTTGTACATTGCCCAACACTCATGTTTACAAAACTAGTTATCTATGGTTGTGAAATTATTTAATTATATAAATAAAATATGATAATAAGAAATTATGGTCTCTCTCTTTCTGTGAGATTCCATGTATGAATT